TATATATATTATATATATATATATATATATATATATATATATATATTATATTATATATATATATATATGTAAGTAGTAGGTTGGTAGACAGTAACCGCCCAGGGAGGTACTTTCGTCCTGCCAAGTGAGTGTAAAACGAAAGCCTGTAATTGTTTTACATGATGGTAGGATTGCTGGTGTCTTTTTTTCTGTCTCATAAACATGCAAGATTTCAGGTACGTCTTGCTACTTCTACTTACACTTAGGTCACACTACACATACATGTACAAGCATATATATACATACCCCTCTAGGTTTTCTTTCTAGTTCTTGCCCTTGTTTATTTCCTCTTACCTCCATGGGGAAGTGGAACAGAATTCTTCCTCCGTAAGCCATGCGTGTTGTAAGAGGCGACTAAAATGCCGGGAACGAGGGGCTAGCAACCCCTTCTCCTGTATATATTACTAAATGTAAAAGGAGAAACTTTCGTTTTTCCCTTTGGGCCACCCTGCCTTGGTGGGATACGGCCGGTGTGTTGAAAGAAAGAATATAATATATATATATATATATATATATATATATATATATATATATATATATATATATATATATATATATATATATATATATACGTATGTATTTAAAGATGTATATAACCACAACCGCAGAACGTCTGGCAATGAGGCGGAATACGTGCAGATCTACACGAGTGTTGAGTGTCACTGGTGATGCAAAATACTGTAGCTGAACCACTACTGCCACCACCACCACCACCACCACCACCACCTCCCCCACCACCACCACCACCACCACCACCACCACCACCACACCACCACCACCACCCACTCTGCTCTTCACCACCACCACTCCCTCTCCTCACCACCACCATCAATCCCCATCATCCAGGCAAAAGGCAATATTGGCAGTTAATTTAGTTATTTTCCATAAGAGTGTCACCAGAAGCCTCTCGTTATTCCCCTGATGAGACAGTCTTGTTTTTCCACTATGTTAATAAGCCTCGCCACAGCCAATACTCCCAAAAGAAAAATATCTTTGGGATTTTATCATGAATCTTAAAACGTGTCTCAAAGTGGAAATGGAAGTCTGTATCATTTGTTTAATTATTTTCTGAACGGCTGTAGAAAAATGTAATACTTGAGAAATGTTCTGAATGTTCAGGTGTGTGTGTGTGTGTGTGTGTGTGATGTGTGTGTGTGTGTGTATGTGTGTGTGTGTGTATGTGTGTGTGTGTGTGGTTTTTGTATGTGTGTGTATATGTGTGTGTGTGTGTGTGTGTGGTTGTGTGTGTGTGTATGTGTGTGTGTGTGTATGTGTGTGTATGTGTGTGTGTGTGTATGTGTGTGTATGTGTGTGTGTGTTGTATGTGTGTGTGTGTGTGTGTGGTGTGTGTGTGTGTGTGTGTGTGTGTGTGTGTGTGTGTGTGTGTGGTGGTGTGTATGTGTGTGTGTGTGTAGTGTGTGTGTGTGTGTGTATGTGTGTTGTGTTAGTGTGTTGTGTTAGTGTGTGTGTGTGTGTGTGTGTGTGTGTGTTGTGTGTGGTGTGTGTGTGTGTGTGTGTTTTGTGTGTGTGTGGGGTGTGTATGTACTCACCTAATTGTACTCACCTAATTGCGGTTGCAGGGGTCGAGACTCAGCTCCTGGCCCCGCCTCTTCACTGATCGCTACTAGGCCCTCTCTCTCTCTGTTCCTGAGCTTTGTCATACCTCTTCTTAAAACTATGTATGGTTCCTGCCTCCACTACTTCACTTGCTAGGCTATTCCACTTGCTGACAACTCTATGACTGAAGAAATACTTCCTAACGTCCCTGTGACTCGTCTGAGTCTTCAGCTTCCAGTTGTGATCCCTTGTCCCTGTGTCCCCTCTCTGGAACATTCTATCTCTGTCCACCTTGTCTATTCCCCGCAGTATCTTGTATGTCGTTATCATGTCTCCCTGACCCTTCTGTCCTCCAGTGTCGTCAGTCCGATTTCCCTTAACCTTTCCTCGTACGACATTCCCTTGAGCTCTGGGACTAGCCTTGTTGCAAACCTTTGTACTTTCTCTAACTTCTTGACGTGCTTGACCAGGTGTGGGTTCCAGACTGGTGCTGCATACTCCAGTATGGGCCTAACATACACAGTGTACAGTGTCTTGAACGATTCCTTATTAAGGTATTGGAACGCTATTCTCAGGTTTGCCAGGCGCCCGTATGCTGCAGCGGTTATTTGGTTGATGTGTGCCTCCGGTGATGTGCTCGGTGTTATGGTCACCCCAAGGTCTTTCTCCCTGAGTGAGGTCTGTAGTCTTTGTCCACCTAGCCTATACTCTGTCTGCGGTCTTCTTTGCCCCTCCCCAATCTTCATGACTTTCCATTTGGCTGGATTGAATTCGAGAAGCCAGTTTCTGGACCACATGTCCAGCCTGTCCAGGTCTCTTTGCAGCCCTGCCTCATCCTCCTCCGATTTAATTCTTCTCATCAACTTCACGTCATCTGCGAACAGGGACACTTCTATTCAGAGTACATGTGTGTGTGTTTGTGTGTGTATGTGTGTGTATGTGTGTGTATGTATGTGTATGTGTGTGTATGTGTCCTTATATATATATGGAGGTAAGATATACATGTATATTTATTATCTTCGTTTTTTTTATTGTCACCCCTTCGAAATTTTTCTTCATTCTTTTCCTTCTATCATATTCTTTATTCTTGATTATTCTTTCTCATTTCCCTTTCCTCTTCTTCTTCTTCTTAATTTTTTATTTTGCTCCTCACATTTCGATCCATGTAGTTTATATATATATATAAAAATATATATATTATATATATATATATATATATATATATATATATATATATATATATATATAATATATATAATAATATATATATATATATTATATATATATATATATATATATATATATATAATATATATATATATATATAATATATATATATATATATAAAATAATTTGGGCGAAATATATTTTTTAACGCAAATGAAAACCATTTTTTTAAGCCAGGATATTAGACTTTTTTATTTATATAAATAATTATAATTATTAACCAGTCAATCAGTATTAAAATATCCAACTAATCCGAAATTATAATGATTTATTCTTTTTGGAAGTAATTTAATTTTACTAATATAAAACTTAAGTCTGATTAATGGAAATAAGAGAAAATAATACAAAGCATTAATATTATTATTAATAAAAATATTAATAAAATATTATTATTATTATTATGGGAGGATTTTAATTTAATAATAAGAAAATTTTTAAGACTTCTAAAAACAAATAATAATAATAATAATAATAATAATAATAATAATAATAATAATAATAATAATAAAAAGTTTTAATAAGGATCGAGAGCTTTTTAATATTTAATGAAAATAATAATAATAATAATACACTATATTATTATTATTATTATTATTATTATTATTATTATTATTATTATTATTATTAGTAGTAGTAGTAGTAGTGGTTGCAACAGTAGTACGAGCAATTGTAATAAGTAGTAATAGTAGGTAATAGTAGCGGTAGAAGTAATTTCATTCTTAGTATTCCTACAATTAACTTGGGATCTTGCCGAATAAGGCAAAGGAAAATTTGTGTATGCAATAATTTCGCAAAAATCATTCTGAACCTAACGAAAAAATATATATTTCATTGTTTTTGTTTATTATTAAATTACTGTAAGCTTATCTAAAATATATTTAGTTAGATTACGCTAAATTATATTGCGCTTGTTGTGATAAGGTTAGGTGTGTTTTTTAAGGTTCTTTTGGTACAAAATTATTAATTTTTACATTAACATAAATGAAAAAAAAATCTTTAAATGTAGAAGAGAAAATTTTAGAAAGGACTTGTATTCTCCTCATTAGTGTTACGTCGTCTTATTCTAGCTCTTCTTTCGTGATATTCACATATACAAGAAACAGCACCGGCAATATGACTGATCCTTGTGGAACCCCACTCGTTACATGCACCCATTCCAACACCTCATCACGGACCATCACTCGTTGTTTCCTTCCTGTCAGGTATTCCCTGATCCAGTTCAGTGGTTTTTCTGCCAGCTCCTCTAGCTTTTGCACCAGTCTCTTGTGCAGTACTGTGTCAAAACCCTTCTTACAGTCCAAGAATATGTAATCTGCCCATCCCTCTCTCTGTCTAGTCTTTTGTTACCTTCTCGTAAAACTCCAGTAGGTTTGTAACACAGGATTTTCCATCCCTAAAGCCGTGCCAATCCGTCTCCTTTCTTACAAACTAGGGCTACATTTACTATCTTCCACACCTCTGACACTTGCCCCTGTTTTGATAAGACTTGTTGAAGATTGTTACTAGCGGCACACACAGTGCATCTATTTCCAGTGTGTATGAATGTGTGTGTGTGTGTGTATGTGTGTGTGTGTGTGTGTGTGTGTGTGTGTGTGTGTGTGTGTGTGTGTGTGTGAAGCAAAGAGTAATTTGTAGTCCCTGACATAATTACATTTTTAATTCCTTTCCGCGGTAGATGGTGGCTGGTATTCACTTCCTCTGTGAACCAACACACCACCGCTAAATAATACTCTACATCTAACATTCTTTCGCGATAAAATCGAGAGTTTTATAACATACTCCGAGAGTCAGTGAGCAATTTAAAGTCAACAGAATTCCTGTCACTAAAATGAAGTATTATAAATATAACACTTGACTCTCTCTCTCTCTCTCTCTCTCTCTCTCTCTCTCTCTCTCTCTCTCTCTCTCCACCCTGCCTTTAACAACGCTTAATACCGGTATTAAAAATATATTATCGTTCTTGTGAGTGGCGAGCAATGAGGCCAGCCATTTCACTTAGTAAACAAACACTAATTCCTCCGGAATGAATACAATTGGTCAAGTTAAGTCGGAATTAAGTGTAAACACTACATTTATAGTTGTCAGGATAAATTCGAGGTGAAAGCATCATTACTGGTCGACAGTCCCCCCTTAAATTACTTGCAGACATGCCTGGGTCCCCAGCGGTGTGGACTGAGAGCTGCTGCTGCTCTGATGGTCGCCGCACTCTTGTATAGCAGCATCCAGTGGCCTGAGTAAGGGAGCTCACCCTTGGTTCTTCAAACACTCTATTCGATTCCCCTTTTTTTTCTCCTTCCCTAGGGGTGAGGACAAGCTGTAACATTTTGACATAGGCAATCTAGTGCCTATTCTAACCAGGCCCACTGCAGACAGATCCCTCCAGTGGCCTTAACTACCACATTATTGATGACAACTTGACACAAAGCTCGGAAAAACTCTATAGGAACCCCATTAAGTCGATGAAATGGACACTCTAATCGAAACCCTGTTTGTCATTCGGCGGCGGTAGCCCTACCAGCCAATCAGAACCCTCCAGGATGGTCGGGCGCGTGACAGCAGCCAATCGAAGGTGAGGGAGCTGGTGGTGGGCGTGTTGTAGGAGTGGCCTGGGATAATCCCGCAGCAGAACAATGGAGAGGTGAGGACCGTAGGTGCGGCTGCCAGCTCTTCAGTATTTGTTGACAAACCGCGCACGCTGCAGCTGTGAGTGTCGCTGGCAGCCCCCACGAGGACTCCCCAAAACAGTGACTGTGGTGGATATATGGCACACGAGTGGAAGTAGAGAGAGGACCGTGTGAGAGGGCAGCGCACCTCCTGGGAGCTAGAATGCTGCTCATGGAGAAGATGTTGCCTCATCTTGGCTACGTGCAGCCCACATTCCACGTACTGAGTCAACTGGCACGGCCCGTGCCGCTACCCCTGGGGCAGCAGCTGCCTCCGCTACCTGCACTCTCACCCTTCTCCAACCACAACGGTATCAAGCTGGGCGGCATGCCGCCCAACGCCCACGAAAGCGGTCCACACCCTCTCTCCTTTTCCGTCTTGGGGCGCGGTAGCGGCGGCTTCCTCGATCGGACCGACCCAAGCGGCGGCCTGCCGCCTGGTCTCCCGTCCCCTTACGATCGCGACGACGAGAAAGGTGAGACATTCACGTAATTCACCCGAGTCATTAACATTTTTATCCCAACTAAGTGACAGTGAACTCCGCCAGACGACAACAGGTGACTTCCGCTACAGGCGTCCACTGGAATCAGCTATCGTAACCAATGGATGCGTTTACCTTGTTCGGCTGAACTTGATCCGGATTCCTTTATCATCTACAACAAGTCCGGTTACCCTGCATGTACTGGGCCTGGCTCAGTTACTTTGTTCAAGTGTGCCTTGTCCGGTCAACCTAGTTTAGATGTGCCTAGTCCGGTTACCTATTTTTCAACTGGTCCAGATTCGGTTTTTTCATTCAACTAAGGCAAGTTCTCATGGCCGTAGCCGGATGTGTCAGTGTTTCTCCACATATCTGACATTAATAACCGTCTTCACTGCTGCCTTGCAGATTCCTCGGCATTAGGCATAAGCTTACACTGATGGGCCGTGAATAATATTGCAGGTGGTTATAAGTACCTCATTCTATGCAATATTGCTAGAGCACCTACGATATTCCTGTCATAATGGAGGCTTATTTCAGATGACTAAAAGATATTCGTGGTAGTCGCCCAAAAATATTCTCTCCTCCTAATTTGCCATATTCTTACACAGCATTACCAATAAATCTAATAATACCTTACTGTCTCTATGGAATAATTAATAATTTTTATTGTGGATCCACACACACACACACACACACCTGTATATATATATATATATATATATATATATATATATATATATATATATATATATATATATATATATATATATATATAATGTGCCGAATAGGTAAAACTGGCCAGTTAGCAAGAACTCAATTAAAATTAAGTCCTTTCTAAAATTTTCTCTTATACGCTAAAAAGATATATTACTTTCATTTATGTTAATGTAAAAATTAATAATTTTGTACCCAAAGAACCTTAGAAAATTTACCTAACCTTATTACAAGCGCAATTTAATTTAGCCTAATCCAACTAAATATATTTTAGATAAGTTTACAATAATTTAATAATAAACAAACACAATTAAATATATTTTTTTCGTTAGGATCAGAATGATTTTTGCGAAATTATTGCATACACAAATTTTCGCTTGCCTTATTCGGCAAGAAGAGCTTTGCTATTTAAGCCAAAATCGCAAGTTTTACCTATTCGGCACGACATATATACATACATTATATATATATATATATATATATATATATATATATATATATATATATATATATATATATATATATATATATATTTTATATATATATATATATATATACTACTTATATACTTAAATATAATATTTCTGCGACATTACAGCTATGTCTGCGCTAGTGTATCTATTTCTGTGCAATTATAGATAGTTCCTCGGTCAGGAAATCGGGTTCTGACAAGATATCAGTCCCTAGTAACATCTATGTGGACCGCTGACAAAATTCTCACATTTCGCCGATATCATTAGTAGAAAATAGCTAATCAAATTTTTGCTTTGCTTTATATTATGGTGGTAAACCAGTGTTATTCGGGTGGGGGGGGAGGGGGTAATACTCAGCTAGGAAGCTAATATCTCCCGTGGAAAGCAACAGAAAATATTTTGGTGTCGAGAGTAATATTCAGCTATGCTGCAGTTTCCGTGTAGTAATACTTCAGTAATATTCAGGTGTACAGGTATTAAACAGGTCTTGTAAGCCATCGCGGATATTCCCTCACGTACGGTAATATTCCGTCAAAAAAGTGCAATAGGCACTGGAATGAGGACCAGACCATTCCTCAGTTTCGACAAAACTTCAAACGACGTTTCAATCCATTACATCAGGCCGAGAGGACCTGGAAGGTCCGAAAATAATTTTGTGAATTGCGAATTGAATTTCTGTGAACAGTTTTTGACCCATTATTAAAATTGTTTATTTTTGTCCATGATAAACAATTACACAACCGAACCTTAGTGAAGAAAAAATGTTATTATTATTACATTAAGAGAGAGCGCTATATCCACACGGGCAGTACTGCCTCCTGAGGTAATGGGAGGCAATTAGGTTCGATTCTACGGGTAAGGAACGATAACTCAAATTTCCAGGATCAAGAACCTCTTTACCGATCCAATAACAACAATAACAATAATAATAATAATAATAATAATAATAATAATAATAATAATAATAATAATAATAATAATAATAATAATAATAAAAATAACAATAAAATTATTACTTTTAATACTTATTATTATTATTATTATTATTATTATTATTATTATTATTATTATTATTATTAGTTTGATGACTGCTGAGGGTAAATACCAAGTCGCCAAAATATCCAAATGGCCAAAACTCTTTCACATCGCCAAAATTCTTACACATCGCCAAAATTCTTTTGCCATCGATAAAATACTTTTCCCCTTCCGCCAAAAAATGTTTTCCATCGCCAAAATTATTTCTCCTTAATATTTTTTTCCGTAATCGCCAAAATTCTTTGACATCGCGAAAACTGTTTCACATCGCAATTATTTTACATCATCGCTGAGACACTCGGCTTCAAAGATGTGGTTTAACGCCAGTAAAGGGCTCTTGATCCAAGGAATTAAAGTTGCCTTTCCCTTCCCTTCCTTGGATCAAACCAGATTTCCTCGTATTCTCCAGGTTCTGCAAGATCCCTCTGGGTTTAGAGCTTTCCCTAATATAATATTAATAATAATTTACAATAATAATGGTAATAATAATAACTTATAATAATAATAACTTATAATAATAATAATAATAATAATAATCATAATAATAATAATAATAATAATAATAATAATTCATAAAATTAATAATAGTAATAGTAATTCATAATAATAATAATGATAATTATTATTATTATTATTATTATTATTATTATTATTATTATTATTACTACTACTAATAATAATAATAGTAATAATAATAACTTATAATAATATAATAATAATAATAATAATAATAATTCATAATAATAATTCATAAAATTAATAATAGTAATAGTAATTCATAATAATAATAATAATAATAATGATAATTATTATTATTATTATTATTATTATTATTATTATTATTACTACTACTACTACTAATAATAATAATAATAGTAATAATAATAACTTATAATAATAATAATAATTCATAAAATTAATAATAATAATTCATAATAATAATAATAATGATTATTATTATTATTACTACTACTACTACTACTACTACTACTACTACTACTAATAATAATATAATAATAATAATAATAATAATAATAATGAAGAATTAGAAACATGTGCTACATCTGGGTATCTTTATTACAGACGTTTCGCCATCAAGTATTGATAAAGCCACTGTTTGGCGAAACGTCTGTAGTAAAGAAACATAGATGTTGTACATGTGTCTGATTCTTCATCTTGTTGGTACTATATATACCATATACGTATAATAATAATAATAATAATAATAATAATAATAATAATAATAATAATAATAATAAATAATAAAATTAATAATAATACTAATAATATCTAGCTAATTTACAGATAAATCACATCTGCATAATACTCCCAGTAATATTTCTTTGAGTAATACGTCTTCCAGTAATACGTCTTCCAGTAATACGTCTTCCAGTAATACGTCTTCCAGTAATACGTCTTCCAGTAATACGTCTTCCAGTAATACGTCTTCCAGTAATCGCTTCATAATACGTCTTCCAGTAATACGTCTTTCAGTTATACGTCTTACAGTAATACGTCTTCCAGTAATACGTCTTCCGGTAATACGTCTTCCAGTAATACGTCTTCCAGTAATACGTCTTCCAGTAATACGTCTTCCGGTAATACGTCTTCCAGTAATACGTCTTCCAGTAATACGTCTTCCGGTAATACGTCTTCCAGTAATATTTCTTCCAGTTATATTTCTTCCAGTAATATTTGTTCAATACTTCAAGTAATACTTCACGAATATTATTCCCGCCAGACCTTCGGTAATATTACAGCTACGCCGACAAACGATATTACCGTTGCTGTACGCACGAAGAAGCGCTAAACCCGCAAGGTGAGAACTGCCGAAAGGGGGAAGGTCACACAGCGCTTGCGCGCGCCTGTGGGGGTAATAGGAGGTAATATAGGTCAGAGGAAGGGAAGTTCCAGGTCCACGGATCAAAAGCCCTTCGGGGGGCGTTTATTTGCATTGCGCGAAGCGCTAAACCCGCCTGGATCTTTCGATGATGTGGCGGAGGCTCGTTCCCCGTTCGCTGATCGGCAATACTTCTGTCCAGGATCTAGATAATACTCTAGTTGAAGGCTAATATATATTACCTTCGTTCCAGCAGTAATATCCCCGATAGGCCGTCAATATTTCAGAAAAACGGTAAAAAAAGTATTGCTGATAATCCATTAGTAATATTCAGGGTTACCCTTGTGTAATATTTTTAAGTCTAAAGTAATATTCCAACTTTATAAAGACAAATATTTAATATACTTCGTCAGTAATATTTATACGAAAATATTCAAGGTATATTTGCAGTAAAATTCAGGGTATATCGCTTTGTATATTCCACTTATATTGCTACTAAAAATTTCACGTATATCGTTAGTAATATGCCAGGTATGTCGTCAGTAATATTGCAGGTATATCATCTATAATATACCAGGTATATCGACAGCAATATTGCAGGTATATCATCTATAATATACCAGGTATGTCGTCAGTAATATTGCAGGTATATCATCTATAATATACCAGGTATATCGACAGTAATATTGCAGGTATATCATCTATAATATACCAGGTATGTCGTCAGTAATATTGCAGGTATATCATCTATAATATACCAGGTATATCGACAGTAATATTGCAGGTATATCATCTATAATATACCAGGTATGTCGTCAGTAATATTGCAGGTATATCATCTATAATATACCAGGTATATCGACAGTAATATTGCAGGTATATCATCTATAATATACCAGGTATATCGACAGTAATATTGCAGGTATATCATC